CAGTCCCGTGTCGGAGTCGCTGTCCATCACAGCAGCATCTTCCTAAAAACCGTCTCCAGGAGGGAGTTAATTGGCAATGGACTAGGGCATCAGGAAGCTTCGGCAGGGCTGCCTCGAAGGAGACGCCTGAATGGGGAAGGGTGTGTAATTTCCCCATGTTCGTCTCCTGAATTTCCATCATCCTTTTGAACTGAATTTCTATGAAGTCCACCCACTTCTCATTAATCCCCGCATCCAGGCCTGCATCCTCTCTTCTCACAGGCCCCTCTGCACTGCCTCTGTCCTCCTGAAGTCCGTTCTCCACACAGCAAATGCAAATCTGACCATGACACCCTCCCGCTTAAACCTGCCATGGCTCCCCATCACCCTCGGGATAAAGACCCTCATCAAGGACTCACAAGACCTTTGTAGATTAATCCCTGCCTTATGTCTCCAGCCCCCTACCAGATAATTACACTTTCGTCTGTCCTTTGTACTCATCACGAGCCCTCCAGCACAGAGCTTCCCCAGTTTGCCTAATTAGCCCCCTTGCAGCTTTCCAATCTCGGCCCCGTGTCTTCCCCGGTGTCTTCACCTCTTAATCGCATGCGTTGTTCTACACTTCTTTACTTCCTTGATTTGTTTCCACCCCATTCCTAGACTGAAGTCTCCTTGAGGGCAGGGCCCGGGTCTAATTTGGGGTTCCATATGTCCAAGAGCCTGGTGTGTAGTTGAGGCTTAATGGATATTTACTGAATGAATGAATGGATGAATGAATGAGTGCTCAAACCCAGAGATCAGGGACTGACCGAGAGGACAACCTCCTTGGTATCAGCCATGTCCGGGCAAAGGGCCACGGAGAAATCAGACAGCGAGCCTAACAGAAATCAGGCACCAGGATGAAAAGCTCGTCTTGTTCTCTCAGCTCATGCCGGTTCCTCCATCTTCTGAAATCAACTCGTCGTTCGTGCTTCCGCCTCCTTGAGTTGGTGACGATCCCCCGTTAGTCCCTTCCGGAGCAGACTCAGGAATGTGTCACGGGGCGAGATGGAAATCCTGACTCTTCGTGGCTGCGTGCCTTAGCCGCTCAAGCCTCAACATTCTCATCAGGAAACAGGGCACATGATGCTTCTCCTGCTGGGGATGGGGCCTGTGAAGAAACGAGTCCGGAGCCGGGTGCCTAGCGGCTGCAGAACAAAAGTAATTTCTCTTTATTAAACTTTCAATGCTCCCTCCTACCTCGATGCCACCTGGATGTTCCAGCCATCTCAGTGGAGACAATGTAAAGAAAAGCATCCGGTAAACGCCTTCACTCCGGGGCGGGCTTCTCAACCTCACACTCTTGGTGTGTCAGGTGGGGTGTCCTGTGCATCGCAAGGTGCTTAGCCGCATCTCTGGCCTCTGGCCACTAGATGTCAGTAGCATCCCCGAGTTGTCACCACCAACCATGTCTGCAAGCAGCCCCATATCTCGGGGGGATGGGAGGGGGGGTCGGGGGGGGGGCGAACTCACCCTGGCTTGAGAACCACTGCCCTGGGGTATCAGGGGAACTCATTTTGAGGTCAAGTATATTTGTAAAGACGATGGTGCCTGGAGTCACAAATGTGGACTTCAGGTAGGGCTGCAGACAGGTAGGGGACCAACGAGGACAGATGGCACAAGGTAGGTAGGTGTTAGCCTCCACTGCTACCTGAGACAGATGCAGACACACTGTCAGGGCTGGAGGGGGCCGGGTCTCTCATCTCATAGACGGGGAAACTGAGGCCCAGAGGCAAGGGCTTTGTTGCTTTGTTTAGTCTGGGGTGCTTCAGACCCACACACGAATGTCTACGCATTTAACATGTACGTGCACATTAGACAGACATTGGACATATATAGAACTCTATTAAAAACCGATATGGAGTCACAAGTAGGAAGGGAATTTTAGACTTTTTTCTGTGCACTCATGCGTGGGCACCCATGCACACACACACGCACGTGCACACGTGCAGCCCAGCCTCCTTGCTCCCTTCCGTGAGTTCTGGGAAGAGGAAGTGGAAGGAACCGGGGGCGTTGGCTGCCTGCGGTCCCTTGGTCTTGAGGCGTCTGGGGGTGGGGCGGGGGGGGGGGAGGCTGAGGAGGGAGACAGGGCAGCAAATGCAGATGGAACAGGGCTATTGTGCTCAGCCGGGCACAGCTGTGGGCTACACGAGAGGACACTGCCATTGTGTGCTTTTGTTTTATTAAATTGTTTGGGGGGTATTAATTTGGTTTTGAATGAAAAGAGCCAAATTTCACCCTTGATTTTCCATGCAAGTTGTTAACAAGTAAACACACGACAATGACTACAGGAAACTGGGAGGGGAAGTGGGAAAGGACCCATCTTCCAACCTTCCGGGCCTTCGGACTCTGCCCCGCGATGGCTTTGTGCCCTGTGGGGAGGTGTTTGGCTTCGGGCATCAGATGGGCCAAGCTGGCAGGGGCGAGGGGTGCTTTCCAGAGCAAGGGGGTCACGTGAGAAAAACTGCATTAGGTGACAGGAAATGTGGGCACCTCTGCAGGTATGAACTGTGGCTTCTGCCGGGTGGAGTGAGAAGGCTGGTGAGAGGGGAGGCTGACCAGGGAGCAGCGCCCTGGGTGTGGAGGTAAATGTTGACCACAGAAAGGAGTGGGGATTGACCCTGAGGGCCCTGGGGAGCCATGGGAGGGTTCTGAGCGAGGGAGTGACGGCATCCAATGGGCACTGGAGAACACTCCATCCGGCTAGTGTGTGAAGTTGGAGGAAGGCGGAGGACTGGAAGGTGTTCTCTCCGACCAAGTGCGAGAGGCCAACTTTATTAGGGTGAGGCTACGGCTAAGGGGTGGTGTGGGACTCTCCCAGTGCACCCACTCCCTGTAAGGGGCACCCGGGAGCCTTCCAGTCTACTTACAGCATTCAGTGTGGTCCAGTCTTTATACTTTTCCGAGCACCTTTGTTTCTTTCCTGCTTCGGACATTTCTTTTGTAAGAAATAAAATGTTCCAGATCCAGCAGAAGCCCGGCTGGGCATCCCTCTGAAACCATTTCTCATCCTTTCCCTGCCTTAAGTAACCACTTGTATCTTTATGTTTTAAATTTTACCACCTATGTGAATAGCTGTAAACAATATGCAATATTGTTTCTAGACTTTCCATATTCATTATACTCTAGGTCTCACCTAGTAACTTTGCTCTTTCCTCTCAACGTTATGTTTCCAATTTGGATCCTTTATCCTTTATTTGGTGTGGGGTGTTTCATTGTGTAGACGTAATGCAAGTTACTAGTCCGGCTCCCTGCTGATGGACATTCACGGCGCTTCCAGTTGTGTGTTGCAATAACACCACGTCCGCTCACAGCGGAGTTCATGGAACCTCTCCCTGAGCCGCCCTGTGGCTGTTCGTGCTGAGAGCGAGACTCTGCACCTGGGCTGATGGGTTCAAACCCCAGCTCTGTAACTTACAGGCTAGGTATCTTTGCAAGTTGCCTTCGGAACCCTGATTTTTTTCGTTCATAAGCATAGGACTAATAGCACTGCCTTATAGGGTTATGGTAAAGATTGCCATGTTAGTGTAAGTGAAGCCCTCAGAACAGGGCTGTGCTATGCAAGTGTTTGATATAATTATTATGCTGTTATTAATTAAGCATAGGAGAAAGTGTGGACGGAGGCTCTCCCAGGCTGTGTGACTTTAGGACAGGTCACTGCACTTCTGTGGGTCTCACCTTCTCATCAGTAAATTGGGGTGTTGTAAGGCTGACCTGAGATGATGGGGGCCAAAGGTTCATTTTTCTTGCCCCACTTCCATATCCTCACCCTTACCTGGTTGTGTGGGCACATGTTATTCTCTTGGACAGCTAAGGAGACTGAGGCTCAGAAAGGTGGTGAGACTTTCTGCAGATCACACAGCATGTCAGAGTGAACGGACTCTCCTTAGGCAGCGTCCTTGGGTTCGGTCCCTTGCCTGTTGTTGCACACCTCCAGGGCCAGCCCACGTCCTCCTGCAGACCCCATTACACCCCCCACGCCCCCGTCTCCCTCACCCCCCACCCCTGTGGCCTAGACCCAAAGCTTGGCCACCCGCTCTGTCATTGCCATGAGGTGCAACTGATACAAACAGTCATCCACACGGCCTCTCAGAAACAGCCACCAAACCTCCCGTATCGTGGCAACCGCGGAAACAAAACAAGCTCTTCATAAAAGATGGAAAAAGAGGGGAAACAGAAAGCACCCCCCCAAACCCGTGGCCCCCTGAGGATTCCTGCTGCCAGGCTTTCCGTTCACAGAGTGGATTTGGCTTGCATTGTATCTTCACATTTAAAGGAATTTTTCCCCCAGGTTGTTTTCCTCTAGCAGACGGTGGCTGGGACCCAAGAAGTGGCATTTAAAATATACAAAAGGAAACAGAGCGTGGCGAGATCTAGATGAGAGGGACCCTCGGGTGGCGGTGGGGGGGGGGGGCAGATGGCAGAGCAGAGCCGGCACCGTACCACGTCTGCAGCCCCAGAGTGGCTTCCCTTTGGCCCTTGAATTCCCCTGAGGGCTGAACGGTGGCACCGCGGCACCTTGTGCCCACTGCTCAGCCCTTGGTCAGCCCCTTGCAACGATGTCCTGAAACGTAAAGCTGAGAAGGCGCTGGAAGACCACTGGATCCCTGCTTCCCTTTTTTTTTTTTTTTTTAGCAAAGATATTGTTTTCTGGATAATCTAGCCATCTCAATATGCAAAGCAGGTAAGAGAGCATTGGGGTGGAAGTAGGGTCCCTGGAATGCGTCTGTGGGGGCTCTCGTCTTCTCCCCCCACCCACAGGAGCCCTTCAGCATCGGCCGCTGATGTCAGTGTGCTAAGAGACCAGGGGACAATTCCGGTCCCTTCCTTCACAGGTGGAGAAACTCTTGTGGCGGGTAGAGACAGTAACCAACTGCTCTTGTTTACTCTTTAAACATGCCAGGAGTACGGATATGACCTTACATGTCTAATGGACTCAGACCCCTACAACCGCCTGATAAGGTAAGTGTCCTAAGTGAGCCCCCTTCGCAAATGAGGAAACAGAAGCACAGAGAGGTGCAGTCGCTTTGCAAAGTCACCCAGCTGGTAAGTGGTGAAGCCAGAATTCAGAGCCCATGGTGGTTGATTCTAGAGCCTGTGGGGTTACCCACTATATGGCCCAGGGAATCTAAGGACTGTCCCACAATCACAGAGGAGCTGAGCCAGGCCCTGGAGGTGGCCTGGAGCGGAGGGAAGTTCACTGAATGAGCAGGGCCGGACCCCTGGGTCCGTGTTTTCGGCAGGCTCTGGTCCTGGCTGTTTGGGAAGAGAGTGAGGAAGAGCAGCCAGTGAGCGTGGGAGGAGCAGAAAGGAAGTCTGGAGATCCCACTGGGAGACTTGGAACTAAGGAGCTACAGCAGATGCTTGAGCTGGAGTGTCAGCTCCTACCCTCGGCGGCACATCAGTGTTGGGACAATGGGCCAGAGTATTTTGTTAATAATGATCACAACAGTGCTAGATACTGCCCTAGGCACTTTATAGGCATGATCTGAGTCATCACAAAACCTCCAGGAGACCCGTGATGTTATCATCCCATTTCACAGATGAGATTACCAAGGCTCAGAGAAGAGAAGCCATCTGCCCAAGGCCACAGACCTGCTGAGTTGTAGCAGTGACATTTGGACCCAGGCCTTGCTGATTCCCAAGCCTGCATATCTGCATCAGTTAGGTGTAATGACCGTAACGCTATGTAACAAACGACCACAAAATCTTGGTGCCATAGAACAGTAAGTGTGTCTCTAGCTCACGTCTCATGTGTGTTGCTGAGCCTGCCTGGGCTCAGCTGGGCAGCTCTGTTCTGCTCCATGTGTCTCCCATCCTCCCCTGGGGTCGGCGAGCTGGCTCAGACATGCTCGTCTCCTGGCGATGGCAGGAGGGCAAGCAGCCCAGAAGAAACACCCAAGGCCTCTTGGGACCAGACCCAGAACCAGTGCACTGTCGATTCTATTGACCTCATTCTACTGACCTAAGCAAGTCACGGAGCAGGCCCAACATCTGAGGGCGGGGAACTGTGCTCCAGCCTTTGACGGAAGGTACTGGAGGTCACTTGGTAAGGTGGGGATACAGGGAGGGGGAAAGAATTGGGGCCCATGTTGTGCTCCACTATAGTGCCGAGGCTGGTGAAAAATGTGTCCCCATGTTCTTTGATACTCTTTCCAAATAGTGGAGCCCTTGAGCGTGGACTGGCCTTCTTGACTCCCTTCCAATGAACAGAACAAGATGGAAGTGGCGGTGTGTAACTTCCAAGGCTGGGACGCTGGGACTCCCTCCTTGCTCCCTTGAGGATCGTCACTCTGGGGAAGCCAGCCGCCATGTTGCCAGGACCCTCAAGCAGCCTTGTGGAGAGACCCACGTGGTGGGGACCCGGGGCTCCAGCCAGCAGCTGTGTGAGGTCCTCCAGCCCCGGTCAAGCCTTCGGATGGCTGCAGCCCCTGCCATCAGGATGGCAACTTCCACAGAGACCTCAAGTTAGAACCGCCCAGCGAAGGTGCTCCTGAACTCCTGACCCACAGAAACTGTGGGGCAATAACTGTGTGTTGTTTTCAGCTGCCAAGTTCTGGGGCGATCTGCTATGGAGCGATAGATAACTAACGCGTAATCATTATGCCAACCCATCGCGGCCATTTCAAGTGAGGCTTAGATGCAAGATGTTTTCTCTGTTCCCCGGAGAACCAACACAAGCCCAACAATTTACCAAGATTAGGGGACCAAAAATACTCATGGCAAACTGTGGTTGTTAAGAAACATCTGTTCTTGAGCCGCCCAAATTGGACAATTCTCAAAGGGAAAGAAAATGCATCAGAAGATGGGGACGGCTGCGTGGGAACTGATGCCAATCCCCCAGCAGCCTCAGCTCATCGCTCAGGTCCCTCCTTACAGTTGAGGTGGGGAGAGGAATCCAAACAAAGATCTGACGGGGTATGTTAATAAGGGCTGCCCGAGCAAGGGACCAAGGGCTCTGTCCAACTGCGAGGGAGGTACCCACACTGGCCCCATACTCCTGCTTTGTGCCAGGTACAGGTGGGCACTTAAAGCCCTGCTTGTGAGGACCAAGGGTGGGGGTTCTGGAAGACTCTGGCTCTATGATGAGGACTAATGGGCGAGAGGCAGTATGGAGTAGTGGTTAAGAGCCCATGGGCAGACCCGGGTTCGAGTCCTGCCAATGATGCTTGCCAGCTCTGAGGCTTGCAAGTGACCAGGCACTTAGATGCTCTGAGCCAGTTTCCTCATCAGCAGGATGGACATAATAACTACTTGACCTGTAGCTATGGTCTGTTTGGTAAGGCTCCTCTCCCACTCCGTGTGACTGTCCATCTTGGTGTCCCACCACTGTAGCACACACATACCCTTGGCCACAGTGATTGGTTCAGGAATAGACACATGGCCCAAGTGAGGCCAATCAGATGGAACTGGAGACATGGTCGTTGCCTAAAGTGCTAAGTTTAGAAGGACATGAGTCACAGTTGCCAGTGTCAACTGTCATGTGAAGCATGTGAAGAAATCTTGTCTAAGACCTGGCAAGAGATAACAGAGCCTCACAAAATTGCTTAACTTCCTGGATCCAGCCATACCTGAAGCCTACAAGAATGTGTCCTGATGTCTGTATTAGTCAGAGTTCTCTAGAGAAACAGAATCAACAGGATTAAACATATACACAACATTCACACCTCCAATTGGTTCTGCTGTATCTATCTATTGATTGATAGACATAGATATAGAAAGATATTTATTATAAGGAATTGGCTTATATGATTATAAAGACTAGGAAGTCTCAAGATCTGCAGGCAGCCAGCTGGAGACCAGAAGGGCTGATGGTGTAAGCTCCAGTCTGAAAGCCAGCAGATTCGGGCTGATAAGAGCTGATGTTTTAGTTCAAGTCCAAAGTCAGGAGAAGGCCGATGTCCCAGCTCAAGGCCATCAGACAGGAGGCATTCCCCGTACCCACAGGACGGTCAGACTTTGTGTTCTATTCAGGCCTTCAACTGATTAGATGAGGCCCACCCACATTAGGGAGGGCAATCTACTATACTCAGTCTACTGATTCAAACGTTATTCTCACCTAAAATCACTCTACGGAAACACACAGGATAATGTTTGACCAAATATCTGGGCACCCCATGGCCCAGTCAAGTTGACACACAAAATAAACCATCACAGTGTCCAAGTTGTCACGTGATACCTCCCCCTGTTTGTTTTAGACACATTCGAGTTGACAGAACTCGCTTGGAGTCAGGGTCTTGTGGATGGAAATGCTTATTTCACAGGGATATTGGAAAAGTGGCAGAGCTCTCGTGAAGCGCAGTGCCTGGGAGCTGGAAAGTTCTCAGGGATGATGATCGTTGATGCTCGTCCTAGAGAAAACTCTCGGGAGCAGGCTTTCTCCATTTGGGAGAAAATGGGCCACACTCTGCTTTCTCTGCCTCATATCCTCTCTCCACCACAGAGCTGGCCCCGTGGTCCTGGGCGGATGGTACAGACCCTCTACCCCAGGGAAACACTATAGTCCAGGTCGCCTGGCACCATAATTAATAAGCTGAAAGATGAGGAACCTGGAGAACCCTTCCTTAAGGCTGTGATCTGGCATCATCTAATTTTGAACGTCACATCTGTCTTTCCTTTTCATTTTCTGAAATAAATTCTAGTCTCCCCCAGACTAATGGACGCCTAGGGCTGTGCGCATCCAAAGCTGCACTCAGGGAAGAAAAGTGAAAAGCACGTTAAAAACTTTTAAACCAGCTACCCTGAAGCATGTCTTTCTGAGAGTGGTGGATGTGTTGCTTTTGACCACCAGCATCCCTTCCTTGATGGAACCATGCCTCCGTGACTCCCCGTGGTACCCACTGTCCTCCACCTTCCTCACCACAGTGGAGAGCCTATGACCAGGCTGCACCGGTCCTAACACCTTGGCCACATCCACTTGGACCCAGGGATTGGTCCTGAGGTGGACACGTGATCCAAGCAAAGCCACTCCAAACCCTTCTTTGGATTCCTATATCAATGATCAAAGAAAAGGAGAGAGAGAGAAAGAGTGACAGAGAGAGAGAGAGAGAGAGTGCTTTTTCCTTTTGGATTGCAAGCCATAGGGGTGAGGCCTGAAGCTGCCTGTGGCCATTCTTCCTGCCTTGTAGAGAAGCAACCCACAGAGGGAAGAAGGGAGATAGAGAGAGAACTGAGTGCCAGACACATGAGAGGATAGCATGTGAGCCCCTGGATCCAGCTATGCCTGAAGCCAGCTAAAATTCCCCCTTTTGCTTAAACCTGTTTAAGTTGAAACAATGGTCTGTGGCTGTTCCTTAAACTCACTTAAAGAATGATGAGGAAAACTGCAGACATGCTTGTGCCAAGGAGCTTGGACCAGGCTACACGGAACTTCTAAACACCAGATGGCTGAGACTCCAGCTACTCTCTTATAGATTGGAAGTCTGCCCTGTGCCCCAAAGCACAGACTTTAGAGTGAGAAGCCTGGGACGTGAGCCCCAAATCCCAACTCTCTGGGCCTCAGTTTCCTCCTCTGTAAACTGTAGACTGTGGTACCCACCTCCTCAGGCAGTAAGAGGATTAAATCAGATGGTGGTTGTCGCCTGTGCAGCCCGGTGCCTGGCTCAGAGAACTGCCCCTCAGCAGGCGCTGTCTAGCCCCGATCCCCAGGGAACCCTGCCCGCTGCTCCCTCCCCTGCCTGACCCAGTTTTTCATCCAAATTTGGCCACAGGCCCGGGCCCCGGCCTATTTTAGGTACACCTCTTTTTGTTGCAGGAAAAAGAGACCCACGCAAGTTACCTTAAAACAGAGGGTTTATTATGGGGACAGGAATGTGGATGGGGCGGAGGCAGGGGCACCCTTGGGACTGGAACTGTTTGGCTGTAGAATCTCTTTTCTTTGCTCCTTTAAAAGGGATCATCCCACTCGTCCTTGCAGGAGGGACCACTTCCCGGCCTGGGTGCAAACAAACCAGGGAGGTTTGGTGACCACGATTGTTGAAACCCGAGACTCCCCTTAACTCATGTGGAGAGAGTGGAGCTTTTGGCTGCTGATCATTTGGATTCGGGTTTTCACAGCCCTCAGGACCATCAGGGCTGTTGTGAGAAAGCAGGTGGGCGCGGATTTGGGGACGGAGGATTGTATAGAGTGACTGTAATTTATCGCCCAAACCAGGATGCTTTGAGAATGACAGGGGCAGCACGAATACTTACGCAGGGACGAAAGACAAAAACCAAGACTGTGCAAGCAGCCAGGACACAGGGTCACCCTAAGAGCTCAGAGGTCTGAGAAGGAAGGGGAGGAAGAAAGCAGTGACCACACTGGAAAGAGGACCGGGTGTGACCGCTGCCCAGGAAGTGCCAGGTGCGTGCATGGAGGGCTGGACGGCCGGGAAGGCAGCCCGCGGGTCCCCAGGGACCTCACCTGCCCTGTAGGTGGTGGATGGTGTTCAGGCTCACGGAACTTTGCTCCATCTGCAAAAAAGGCCCTTGTCCACCCAGGGTAAGACCCAGACCCTAAGGGGCTTGAGACCCATAGGAGACCCCTCCCACTGGCGGGGGATGGAAAGAAAGTTCTACTCAGGTACTTGGCAGGGAAGGTGGGTGGAGCACGTGCCCCGGCCCCTGACCCAGCCTGGGTCAGTGTAAGCAGCTCTCCCTGGGCCACGCAGAGTTCCCGATAGCCTCTCTGTGTACTCAGAACTCACGCATGCAAGCAGCCCCCGCTCCCTCCAGCCCTCCGATTTCCGCTGACGGCGCCTCTCCCTGCCTCTCCCCAATGCCTTCCTGACTGACACCCAGCCCTGACCCTTGCCAATGATGCTACCCTTGTCTCAAATCTCAGCAACCTTGAAACAACTCTTTTCCGCTCCCCAGGAAGGGCCCAGAAGGATCTCACCTCTGGGGGATGGTGGGTCCCTCCATATGGTGAACATGTGTGCTTCTTCTCATCCAGCTTATTACCAGCCCTTTATGTGGCCAGTGCCCCAGTTTTGCTAGGGTGGGGACCTTCCCGTCCTTGCTCACACTCCTTCTCATTCTCTGGGCTTTCCAGGAAGCTGACACCATCCCCCTGGATGCAGTGGTGCAGAATGTGACCTAAGCTAAGGCAATTAGCACATCCTGTCTTCCGGGCCACTGATTGATCTAGGTAGGTGCCCAATTAAAGTTTGCTGCCTGGCCTGATGTCTTCAGAAAAGTCTGAAACCTCTTTTCTGATGCTCTTAAAGGGATGAAGAATGGAATGCAGAGCTGCCAATATCATTTTTGATGAAGGATCTACACATGGAGCCAGCCCCAGGGAAGTAGAGCTGAGAAGTGGAGAGAGAGAAACTGGATCCTGGTGACATCATTCAAGCTCCTGGATCAAGCCACACCTGAAGGTCTGCCCTTGGGCTTTTCAAACACAGGAGCCAATAAAGTCCCTTTTCTCAGGTCACGTTCTCTGCTACCTGCAATTGTCAAAGCTCTAACGGCAGATTAGCTCCTGCAGCCAAAAGGATGTTCAAACCAATGGTAAAAGAGTAAATAAACTATGCAGTTGCTCGCACAAAGTTCTGAGCTCTGCCTTCCCATAGTGAGAATTTCCAGGCTCCAGTTAGAGCCCTTGGTCCCTCTCTTCCTATCCACTAATGCAAGCCATCTCACAGAATCCACCCCTGGCAATGTCGTGAAGTAGGTCAAGACTATTTCTGAAGCCTGAGTGTTGGACCTGACCTCTGTGGGTCTACAGAGCCTGTTACATGAATACCCTGGCATTCCCCAACCCCACCATTATCTGCAAGGCCATGCAGGAGCCGGCCCCCTGACCTCCCTGTGCTGTTGCCCCCCACGCCGGGATGCAGCCATTCTGGCGGCTTCCCAGATCCGCGACTTTTTCCCACATCGAGAGCTTTGCAGATGCTGGTTCCTCAGCCTGGAATTCCCTTCTCTGTTTCTTTCCCTGTGTTATCTTCTTTCCCTCCTTTAAGCCTCAGCTGAAATGTCACTTCCCCAGGGAGTCCTCCGCAGCCGCCAGTCTAGGTCAAGCCAGCCTGATTTCTATTCCCAGGGCACCCTGCGCTTTTTCTCTTGTAACTGTAACCCCACGCTCAGTCACTCCCCGGGGTCTATTGAGAAACCTGGTACGTGGTATGTTCTCAAAAACATCTGGATGAATGAGGTCTATAGGTGCCGAGCCCATCAGCCATAAGGAGTAGAGGCCCAGAGAGAGGCAGAACTTGCCCAGGGTCACACAGCAAGTCTGTGATAGCGTGGACACTGAAGCAGGATTCTTATCAGATGCTCTTGAGGAGCCCCAGTGGTGGCTGCTCCTCTCTTTATCTGCTAGTGCCTTGTCTGTTTAGGTCTCCAAAGACCTTTTCTGAGACTCTGTGTCTGCCAGACATGGAGGACCCAAGCTGATGATTCCCTGGGAGGCAGGGACATGAGCCCACTAGGAGGCGTGGCTGTCCTGGGGCCTGGCAGAGACAAGCTGGGTCAATGTTTACCCCATTCCCCAAGACTTGAGGCATCAGACCGAGAGCAGGTACAAGGACGGTGACTGTGTCTTGGCCCTGAAGTGGCTACAAGGCCCAGAACAAATGGAGACAGAAGGCGCTGGGTGTGGTGACTTCTCCTCCTCATGCTCTGCAGTGACCAGTGGACACAGCTGGGTGTCTTTCCCGGCTCTGCCACTTATGGCTGTGTGATCTTTTTATTTTTATTTTTTTTATTTTTTTTTTTATTAATGTTATGATAGATTACAACCTTGTGAGATTTCAGTTGTACATTTTTGTTAGTCATGTTGTGGGTACACCACTTCCCCCTCTGTGCCCTCCCCCCACCCCCCCTTTTCCCTGGTAACCACCGATCAGATCTCCTTCTCAATATACTAATTTCCACCTATGAGTGGAGTCATATAGAGATCGTCTTTCTCTGACTGACTTATTTCGCTTAACATAATGCCCTCGAGGTCCATCCACGTTGTTGTGAATGGGCCAATTTCGTCTTTTTTTATGGCTGAGTAGTATTCCATTGTGTATATATACCACATCTTCTTTATCCAGTCATCAGTTTCTGGGCATGTAGGCTGGTTCCACGTCTTGGCTATTGTAAATAATGCTGCGATGAACATAGGGGTGCAACGGACTCTTGAGATATCTGATTATCAGGTTCTTAGGATAGATACCCAGTAATGGGATGGCTGGGTCATAGGGTATTTCTATTTTTAACTTTTTGAGAAATCTCCATACTGTTTTCCATAGTGGCTGTACCAGTTTGCATTCCCACCAACAGTGTATCAGGGTTCCTCTTTCTCCACAACCTCTCCAACATTTGTCGTTCTTGGTTTTGGATGTTTTTGCCAATCTAACGGGGTAAGGTGATATCTTAGTGTAGTTTTGATTTGCATTTCCCTGATGATTAGCGATGATGAACATCTTTTCATGTGTCTATTGGCCATATTCATATCTTCTTTTGAGAAATGTCTGTTCATGTCCTCTGCCCATTTTTTGATCGGGTTGTTTGTTTTTTTGTTGTTAAGCAGTGTGAGTTCTTTGTATATTATGGAGATTAACCCTTTGTCGGATAAGTGGCTTGTAAATATTTTTTCCCAATTAGTGAGCTGTTTTTTTGTTTCAATCCTGTTTTCCCTTGCCTTGAAGAAGCTCTTTAGTCTGATGAAGTCCCATTTGTTTATTCTTTCTATTGTTTCCCTCAACTGAGGAGTTACAGTGTCCGAAAAGATTCTTTTGAAACTGATGTCAAAGAGTGTACTGCCTATATTCTCTTCCAAAAGACTTATTGTCTCAGGCCTAATCTTTAGGTCTTTGATCCATTTTGAGTTTATTTTGGTTTTGGTGAAAAAGAATGGTCAATTTTCAATCTTTTGCATGTGGCTGTCCAGTTTTCCCAGCACCATTTGTTGAAGAGACTTTCTTTTCTCCATTGTAGGCCCTCTGCTCCTTTGTCGAAGATTAGCTGTCCATAGATGTGTGGTTTTATCTCTGGGCTTTCAATTCTGTTCCATTGATCTGTGGACCTGTTTTTGTACCAGTACCATGCTGTTTTGATCACTGTAGCTTTGTAGTATGTTTTGAAATCGGGGATTGTGATTCCGCCGGCTTTGTTTTTCTTGCTCAGGATTGCTTTAGCAATTCGCGGTCTTTTGTTCCCCATATGAATTTTAGGATTGTTTGTTCAATTTCTGTGAAGAATGTTCTTAGGATTCTGATTGGGATAGCATTGAATCTGTAGATTGCTTTAGGTAGTATGGACATTTTAACTATGTTTATTCTTCCAATCCATGTGCATGGAATGTTTTCCATCTCTTTATGTCATCGCCTATTTCTTTCAAGAAAGTCTTGTAGTTTTCATTGTATAGATCCTTCACTTCCTTGGTTAAGTTTATCCCAAGGTATTTTATTCTTTTCGTTGCGATTGTGAATGGGATAGAGTTCTTGAGTTCTTTTTCTGTTAGTTTATTGTTAGTGTATAGAAATGCTACTGATTTATGCACGTTAATTTTATACCCTGCTACTTTGCTGTAGTTGTTGATTATTTCTAATAGTTTTTCTGTGGATTCTTTGGGGTTTTCTATGTATAAGATCATGTCGTCTGCAAACAACGAGAGTTTTACTTCTTCGTTACCTATTTGGATTCCTTTTATTTCTTTTTCCTGCCGAATTGCTCTGGCCAGCACCTCCAGTACTATGTTGAATAGGAGTGGTGAAAGTGGGCACCCTTGTCTTGTTCCTGTCCTCAGAGGGATGGCTTTCAGCTTTTGTCCATTGAGTATGATGTTGGCTGTGGGTCTATCATATATGGCCTTTATTATGTTGAGGTACTTTCCTTCTATACCCATTTTACTGAGGGTTTTTATCATAAATGGGTGTTGGATCTTGTCGAATGCTTTCTCTGCATCTATTGAGATGATCATGTGGTTTTCGTTTTTCATTTTGTTGATGTAGTGTATCACGTTGATTGACTTGTGGATGTTGAACCATTCCTGTGTCCCTGGTATAAATCCCACTTGATCATGGTGTATAATCTTTTTGATGTATTGCTGTAATCGGTTTGCCAAAATTTTGTTGAGGATTTTTGCATCTATGTTCATCAGTGATATCGGCCTGTAGTTCTCCTTCTTTGTGTTGTCCTTGTCAGGTTTGGGGATCAGAGTGATGTTGGCTTCATAGAATGTGTTAGGGAGTTCTCCATCTTTCTCAATTTTCTGGAACAGTTTGAGGAGAATAGGTATTAAGTCTTCTTTGAATGTTTGGTAGAATTCTCCAGAGAAGCCGTCTGGTCCTGGACTCTTGTTTTTGGGGAGGTTTTTGATTACCGTTTCTATTTCCTTACTTGTGATTGGTCTATTCAGATTCTCCATTTCTTCCTGATTCAGTTGGGGAGATTGTAGGAGTCTAGGAATTTGTCCATTTCTTCCAGGTTGTTCAATTTGTTGGCATATAGTTTTTCATAGTATTCTCTTATGATCTCTTGTATTTCATTGGTATCTGTTGTGATTTCTCCTCTGTCATTCCTGATTTTATTAATTTGCGATTTCTCTCTTCTTTTCTTGGTGAGTCTGGCTAGGGGTTTGTCAATTTTGTTAATTCTTTCGAAGAACCAACTCTTTGTTTCATTGATCCTTTCTATTGTCTTTTTTGTTTCAATATCGTTTATTTCTGCTCTTATTTTTATTATTTCCCTCCTTCTACTGACTCTGGGCTTTGTTTGTTCTTCTTTTTCTAGTTCTGTTAGGTGTCGTTTGAGGTTGCTTACGTGAACTTTTTCTTGTTTAGTAAGGTGAGCCTGTATTGCGATGAATTTCCCTCTTAGGACTGCTTTTGCTGCATCCCAAATGATTTGGTATGTCGTGTTCTCATTTTCATTTGTCTCCAGATAATATTTGATTTCTTCTTTAATTTCTTCAATGATCCATTGTTTGTTGAGAAGCGTGTTGTTTAGTCTCCACATTTTTGCACCTTTCTCTGCCTTTTTCTTGTAGTTGATTTCTAGTTTAATAGCGTTATGATCAGAAAAGATGCTTGATATTATTTCAACTCTCTTGTATTTATTGATGTTTGCTTTGGTTCCCAAAATATGGTCAATCCTTGAGAATGTTCCATGTGCACTTGAGAAGAATGTGTAACCTGCTGTTTTTGGATGAAGTGTTCTATATATATCTATTAAGTCCATCTGGTCTAATTTTTCATTTAATTCTATTATTTCCTTGTTGATTTTCTGTCTGGATGTTCTGTCCATTGGTGTTAATGGTGTGTTGAGGTCCCCTACTATTATTGTATTGTTGTTGATGTCTTCTTTTAGTTCTATTAAGAGTTGCTTTACAAATTTTGGTGCTCCTGTGTTGGGTGTGTATATATTTATAAGTGTTATGTCTTCTTGGTGGCGAGTCCCTTTTATCATTATATACTGTCCCTCTTTATCTTTCTTTATCTGTTTTGTTTTGAAATCTACCTTGTCTGATATTAGTATAGCGACACCTGCTTTCTTTTGTTCATTATTAGCTTGGAGTATTGTTCTCCATCCCTTCTCTCTGAGTCTGTGTTTGTCTTTGGGGCTGAGGTGTGTTTCCTGGAGGCAGCATATTGTTGGATCTTGTTCTTTGATCCATCCTGCCACTCTGTGTCTTTTGATTGGGGAGTTCAATCCATTTACATTTAGAGTGATTATTGAGACGTGGGGGCCTACCTCTACCATTTTGTGTCTTGTTTTCCGGTTTTCTTCAGTTTCCTTTGTTTCTCGTCCCATGGTTTAATCTGT